ATTGTATGGGGTGTGTTCAGGAAAGACTAGCACATCTGGGTTTGCCATGCCCTTTTCAGAGCTGCTCATTCACCTCTGGTGTCCATCTTTCACCCAGCTCTCACCTGTTGCTCTAAGAAGCTCTAACATGTGCAGCAGCCATACCCTAGTAAAACCATCTCAGCAGACAGTCTAAGCCAGGCTGAGGGTAACGGATTGGCTTAAAACCCATCAGTGAATTAGAGGGATGTCTACCTAAAGCATGTGAGGGCTTCCCCCAACAGAATGGATGGCTGAGGACAATTTGTTGTAACAGCCATTAAGGCAGCTACAGCAGGCACTGTGGAACTTGGTTAGACATCAAAGATGCCAAGGTCATCCACTGCATCCTGGGCCATCACCAGTCATCCTGACTTTTGTCTTGCCACTGGATTTCAATGACTCTGGAAGAGAGAGTGAAGCTGACAACTTTGTGCAACTCTGACTCTCTTAAATCCAATTCATCTTCAAATCAAGACATCACCCTGGGATGTCACTGGTCCTCTCTGAAAATGAAAGACAAACAATAAGAATCTGTATCTTTTGATCAGTTCCCAACTAGGGAATGGCTCTTATTCTTATAAATCTGATTCAGTTCCCTATATATTATCTTAGAAGTGAGACTAGTATCAGAAAAAAATTACTGCAAAGATTTCCCTACCAATTTCCTAGTTCTCTTCTAATTTTAGCTACATTAGTTTTATTTGTCCAAAAACCTTTAAATTTATGTAATTAAAACTGCCAAACTTTTCTCTCTCTTGTCTGGTCATGAATTCTTCCTCTGTCCATAGGTCTGACAGGAATTTCTTCTGTACTCCTCTCATTTGCTTATGATGTCATCCTTTTTATCTAAATAGTAGACCCATTTGAAGGTTATTTTGGTATATAGTGTAAGATATTGGTCTGTACCTAGTTTCTGCCAGGCTACTTTCCAATTTTCCCAGCAGTTTTTGTCAAATAGTTCTTGCCCCAATATCTGGGATCTTTGGGTTTATCAAACACTACATTACTGTGCTCATTTGCTTCTATATATTGTGTACCTAATCTGTACCACTGATCAATCTCTATTTCTTACCCAATATCAATTTTTTGGATGATTTTGACTTTGTAGTATAGTTGAGATCTAGTACTTCTAGGCCCCTTTTTCACTTTTTTTCATTAATTCCCTTGATATTTTCCACCTTTTGTTCCTCCAGATGAATTTTGTTGTTATTTTTTTCTACCTCCATAAAGTAATTCTTTGTTAGTTAGACATGGCCCTGCATGAGTAAATTAACGCAGATGTCATTATCATGGTTATTATATTGGCTCAGCCTACCCATGAACAATGAATATTTCTCTGCTATTATTAATTAAATATTAATATTTACATCTGTTTTTATGTAAATAATTATTTCATAATAGTGTCTGTGTAGTTCCCATGTGTGTCTTGGCAAGTAGACTCCCAAGCACTTTGTATTGTCAGTATTTATTCTAAATGGAGTTTCCATTTTGATGTTGTCCTGCTGAATTTTGTTGGTAATATACAGAAATGCTGGTGCTAGTTTATTTTACATCCTGCAACTTTCCCTGAGGTTGTTAATTATTTGTTAGTTTTTTTAGTTGAGTTTCTAAGGTTCTCTTAGGAAACCACCATGTCATTTGCAAAAAGTAATAGTTTTGTTTCTTCTTTGCCTATGATTAGATATTTAATTTCTTTTTCTTATCTACTGCTACAGTTAGCATTCCTAGTACAATACTGAGTAGTAATGGAAAGAATGGACATCTTTGCTTTACTGCTGATCTTATTAGAAAGACTTCTAGCTCATTTCTATTACAGATAATGATGGCTCTTGGTTTTAGATAAATACTACTTATATATCTATTGAAATCATGTGATTTTTGTTGCTTTTGTTAATTACCACATTCAATTTTGTTTATAGTTTTCCCTGAATTCTTGATATAAATCCAGCCTAGTCTTAGTATATGATCTTTGTGATATATTGCTATGGTTCTTTGCTGATATTTGATATAAATTACAGCCCTGCATTCTTTTTTTTTGGGGGGTAGGCAATAGGGTTAAGTGACTTGCCCAGGGTCACACTGCTAATAAGTGTTATGTGTCTGAGGCTGGATTTGAACTCAGGTCTGCCTGAATCCAGGGCTGGTGCTCTGTCCACTGTGCCACCTAGCTACCCCATAGCCCTACATTCTTGATGTAAATCCAGTCTAGACATAGTATATGATCTTTGTGACATATTGCTATGGTCTTTTTGCTGACATTTTACTTAATATTTCTACATTGATATTCATTAGGGATCTTGATCTATAATTTTGTTTCTCTGACTCTCTGATTTAGATTTCAAGGCCATATTTGTGTCATAGAGGGAATTTGGTAGGACCCCTTCTTTTCCTATTTTCTCAAACATTTATGTAGTCATGGAATTTATTATTCTTTAAATGTTTGGGAGAATTCACTTGTAAATCCATCAGGTACCGGGAGTTTTTTGTTTGGGAGTTTATTTATGGGAGTTTATTTATGGCATCTTCAATTTCTTTAAGATAGGATTACTAAAGCATTCTATTTCCTTTTCTGTTCATCTAGGCAATTTATATTTTTGTAAATATAAATCCATTTCATTTAAATTGTCAGTTTTATTGGTATATAGTTGGGTGAAATAACTTGTAATAATTGTTTTCATTTCTTTTTTGTTTGCAAAATTTTTATGTTTTAAATTTTTGATACTAGTCATTTGATTTCTTTTTTAAATCAAAAATTTTAATGGCTTGTCTATTTCATTTTTATTTGCTTTTTTCTACAAAAACCTGGTTATTTTTATTAGTTTCACTTTTTTAACTTTTAATTTTGTTAATCTCTCCTTTGATAATTAGTATTTCCATTTTGGTGTTTAATTGGAGGTTATTCATTTGTTGATTTTCTAATATTTTAGTTGCATAACCAATTAATTGATATACTCTTTCTTTTAATAATTAAAGTGTTTACACATATAACTTTTCCTCTAAGTTCTGCATTGTTTGCATCTCAAAATTTTTGTTATATTTTCTCATTGATGTCATTATCTTTAATGAAGTAAATGGTTTTTTCTATGATTTGTCTTTTGACCCACCCATTCTTTAGGATTAAATTATTTAGTTTCCTACTAATTTTTAATCTTTGCTTCAGAGGTCCTTTATTGCATATAATTTTATTGCATTATAGTAGATAAAATGTGCATTCAATAATAATGATTTTCTACATTTGTTTATGAGGTTTTTGTCCCCTAATATATGATCAATTTTTGTGTTTTCATGCATAGCTGAGAAATAGGTATATATTTTTCTATCTGCATTCAGTATTGTATGGTTAGATTTATCTAGGCCTGAGGTGGGTAAATTGAAGTCCCATACTGATTTAGATTTACTGAATTTTTCCTCCTCTGATTCATTTAACCTTTTCTTTAAGAATTTAGATGCTATGCTACTTGGTGCACATATGTTTACTATTTATATTAATTCATTGTCTGTGGTACCTTTTAGCAAAATGTATGTTTATCTCTTTTAATTATGTCTGATTTTGATTTTGCTTTGTCTGAGATCATGATTGCTACCTTTACTTTTTTTTTTCTACTTTAACTAAAGTGTGATGGGCTCTGCTGCAGCCCGTTATTTTAACTGTGTGTGTATCTTTTTATTTCAAACATGTTTCTTGTAAACAACATTTTGTTGGATGCTGGTTTCTTATCCATTTGGCTATCCTTTTCTGTTTTATAGGTGAATTCATCCCATTCAGATTTATGGTTATGACTACTAACTGTATATTTCCCTCAATCGTATTCTCTTATACTTTTCCTTCTCTTTTCTCTTGCTACTTTTTTAAGAGTTTGTTTTGCTTCTGCCTAATACCTCCCTTAATTTACCATTCCTCTTTCTTTTAACTCTGTTCTTTCCTATTTTCCTGCTGAATAAGATGTATTTCTGTACCCAATTGTGTTCCCTTGTGTATTCCTCCTTCCTTTGAGCAGTTCAGATGAGAATCAAATTTAAGTGTCACCCTCTCCTCCTTGGTGTTCCTTCCTTGTTGTATAAACTTTTCCTTGGGCACCATATATATGTAAGATAATTATCATTCTTCCTCACCTTTCCACCCTCTTCCAATGTGTTCCTCTTCCTCATCTTTTCCACTCTTCTGCTGAAATCATCAAAATATAGAAGAATCACTCCTAGGCCTTCTGTGTAATTAGCCTCCTTTTATGACCCCGGATGACAATAAGAGTTTTGAGTGGACTACAGGTATCATCTCCTCATATAAGAATATAAATGGTTTAACTTTTTTTAGTCCCTTATAGTTTCTTGGTCTTATGTGTATGACTTTTTTTTTTTGCTTCTCTTGACTCCTTTGTTTGTATGTCAAATTTGTACCCAGCTCTGATCTTTTCATCATGAATCTTTGGATATCTTCTATTTCATTAAATATCCATTTTTCCCTCAGTAGGATTATAATTAGTTTTGCTGGATAGGTTATTATTGGTTGTAAACCTAGATCCTCTGCCTTTTGGAATATCATGTTCCAAGTTCTCCACTCATTTATAGAGGGAATTTTTGAAGCAAAGAATGAAAAAATAATGACCTTTATCATAGCATGTACAACTTTACTATCATAAAATAATTTTGTGCCATGATAAGCAGAAGTTTCTAGAAATCAAATTACGAGCATTTATAAAAGATCAAAAAGTTTTCCTTTGTAATCTTCCTCCCTTTTTCTACACCTCTTTCCTCAGAATCGTATAAACTCTGTGGCCTCATAACTCAGTAATATCATAAAACACCATGAAATGAGCCACCTAAAATTACCACTTTTGTTTCCTTTCAAAGACTTTATGACTGCAAAATTACTTCTTAATAACGACTTGTTGGTGCTACTAGGGGTGGGAGGGGAGAGAAGGTGTCTTTCCAAACTTATGCTTTTGTATATAAAATTATACATGCATTTTAACTTAAAATAGGAAGAAGAAGAAGGGGAGGAAGAAGAAATTTTAAAACCTCCTGTTCCAATATGGAAAGCTCAAAAAATTACTCCATTAACCCTCTACACACCACCTGTTCCTGAAGTGCCACCACAATCTGACATACCACCAGCACAAGAAGAGTCCCAAATATCTGAAGGTATTTAATGTGCCCAGATTATTAAAGTTGTGGAAACAGTTTTCAGACTTCTCCCAAATCCATGAAAACCCTGTAGTTTACTATAAAGAGTGGCATGATCTTATTTTATATTAATTTTCTCTATTTTATTGTCTGTCATTATATTTCAGTTGGCCAAAAAGTTATTTCTCAAAACCTTCCTGATAATTCAGGAATAGGTGAACTTGATGCAGAAGAGAATGCAAGAGAAGTTCTAGAAAGCCATATGTTTGAAGACATAAAACAAGGTAGAGATGAAATCAGAAATTATAATATGCATCAGTGTATCCTTCAGACACTAGAAAGAAGCAGCAAAATTAGTTATCACTAGCTAGTAATGCTAGGTAAATGCTAGTTATTGTCACTGCAAATACCTTAATATTATGATCTTGAAGTGAAAGTACATTCTCTTAAGAGAATACTATCACTCTGACAGCTATTACACTGCATTTTTTTTATCGTAGCTCACAATGGACCTTCACGAAAAGAAATGGAATTTTCACTCAAAATTGCCAAAAAGAAAAAATCAGTCAGCTTAACTAAATAATAAACTTTTATCTTGGCTTTTATCAGGGGAAACAGTAAATTGAGAGACCTTTTGAGTGTGTATCATTCACAACCAAACAATTTCTTTCTGTCATCACTGACCTTTTAAAGGAAATAGGTACTTGTCTATTGTAATTTAGAAAACTGATCTACAAGTCTCAATTATGTACATTAATAATAGGAAGCGGTGGCATCAAACATTCAATCAATCCATCAATCAACAAGCACTTATTAAGCACCTACTATGTACTCAGCACTCTTCAGGACAGTAGAAATGCAAAGACAAAATAAGCAATAGTCTTTGCCCTCAAAGACCCTACATTATACTGAGGGATACAACACTTACAGTTGGCCATAGCTTGCAGACTATCTTCATTCTTTTTTCCCTCCCTCTTCAGAAATCAGCTTTTGAATAGCTGTAGGGAAGCCCTGGATCAGTGTCACCAAAGTGGGGATTTTTATTTTCCACTCAGGGCTGTTTCTGGTATATTACTTTCTTTACTTTGGGGGAGGGGAAGGAAAGGTGCCCAGACATATCTTGGCCTCAGATATTTTGGGGTATTTTTTGACAGGCTCGTCAAAGTACAACAGTAGTTCCTCTACTTTGCTCATGATCTTAGCTCTTGAAACCAGTCTTATTTCAGCTGAACCAAATTTCCTGTCTCAGAAAGGAGAATCCCCTTAATCTTATCTATATATCTGAGCATTAAGTTAAACAAGCAAACCATTTGGCTCAAAAGTTTTTATCACATTCTAGGTCTTATAAGTGAATGTGAACATTTAGTACAAAGACTGATGCTTACAGGGAACACTATAAAATGATGAATTATAAGTGAGTGGTTGGTTACATAGCTGCCCTGTTACTAAAATGCTATATTATGTTGATAAATATAGACTCTAACCAAGGATGGTTGATTTTTTGCATGTGCCTTTGGACTGTAATGATTGCACCATTGAAAGGTGTCAGGATTAGATTAGAATGACTTTGTGGCTGACCTCACAGTTGAATTGGGAAAATGGTAATGCTGAGAATTGATGGCCAGATATAGCATCCTGCGGCTGTAGTGGTTCGGGCTGCAGATGTAGAGTCTTCTCAGCGAGACATCTATCAAGTCTAAGAGACACTGATTTATCATGGTCTGGCTTATTCATTTATTTATTTATTTTGTTTGGGTGAGGCAATTGGAGTTAAATGACTTGCCCAGTGTCACACTGCTAGTAAATGTCAATCTCTAGTCTGAGGCTAGATTTGAACTCAGGTCCTCCAGACTCCAGGGCTAGTGCTCTATCTACTGTGCCACCTACCTGCCCTAAGTCTGGCCTTTTTATGTACCCTAGGTGATTGGGAGGCTGTGTCATAGGCCCCTGGACCAATGAAGTCTCAGAGCTATATCCTTGCTTCATAGGGCAAAAATTAGCTTAGTTTATATGGTAAGGAACCTTGCAGATATTGCTGTTACATAGTGATGCATACAGAATTTAGAAATACTATACGATGTTTGTGTAGTTCTCTGCCTTAAACTTTTTCTTTTGGCAAATTTAAGTTCCATAACTTAGTGGGTTCATTTTTGTCTTTACGTCACCAGCACTGAAATCATCGTAGCGCAGTGTTTCTTGAACTGAAATTCCAACTGTCCTTACTATATGCATTAAGAATATTTTAATAAGGCATATTTACTTTCTGCTTTTTAAAACAGCATACATACTGTTTCATACATATATTCACCAAAGCCTTAAGAATTTTAAACTGCTTGAAATTAAATTGTATCTCCTTCATACTTTTTTTTCCCAACAGAAAATGCTGAGGAGGAAGAAAAAGAAAGACAATCACAATCATCAAATTAAAATGAACAAATCAACAGAAAAGGAGATTGTATGCCAGGTTTCTAACATTGTAATGATCTTACTTTACACAGTTTGCTAAATTAGTTTAAATAAGCTAATAAACACTTTTAAGAAATCCTTTGTTGCACGTTCTTTAGACTAAAAGGCCCTGGGTTATCTTTACTGTGGTATAGTGTATATAATAGTAAACTTGAAATCAGCAAGATGTGAGTTCAAATCCTGCCTCTTACACCCACAATGGGTACACTTTCTGGGATTACTTGCCTAACTCTCACTTGCACTCAAAGGTCAGGTCATCAGAGGGCATCTGACTTCTACAACCCATTGTTCTAGGGGTAAGTAACTCTGAGGTTCTGAGTTTTTCTGATATTTATAAGCGCCCATGAATTTCCTGTTGATTACCAGCCAGACTTAACAAGCTACTATAAAAAGGGTATTTGCTAAGCACATATAGCAAGAACAGTTCTAGAAACTGTCTCCCCTCTTCCAACCTGGAGGAACACTCTCCCTTTACACACAAAAGTTCTCTCGGGAGGTGGGTTCAAATACAGGGGTTGGGAACCAGCATGTGGCCTCGAGGCTGCAGTTTTCCCACCCCTGTATCAAATATAAGACACAGAAAAAGTAAGGCACATACGTAGTTTGGCATAGTGAAAGCTAGACCAAGATTTGAGAAGACCTGGGTTCAATTCCTGCCACAAACCCTTATTAGATGTATGACCCTAGGCAAGTCATTTAATTTCTATCTCCCTTAGTTTTCGCACTGTAAAATAAAAATCACAGTAGCAGCTATTTCCCAGGATCGCTGTGAAGACAAATTGAAACTTACAAGTTTAAAGATGTATATAAATGTATAAAGGGGCAGAGGTATGCTAGTAAATATTAATAACTGGCTCTCTGGGGGGGGGACAGACACAGCCACTGCACACTTTTAACTTTAATCCACATTATTAATATTGTCTCTATCATTTCTTAAGTATACCAATACTTATATTTCTTATATTTAAATATATACTTAAGTGTAGTTAAGTATATGCTCAAGTATATTTGTTATACTTAAGAAATGATAGAGGCAATGTTAATGACGGCTCTATATATAATGTTTATACTAAAAAAAATTTTTAATTTAAAAAGGGACATAAGCACTCACCCTGATGATTTAACAATGTATTCTCATGAGCTAGTATGAGGAGGCTCTAGCACATCTCTGTAAAGGGATAATACTTATCCTGATTACTGGGAGTCTTTTTCTCCCTTCTTAGAGTCCTAATGAAGTTTCCCTTAGTTGTAGCTGTCTGAGGGACATCAAGGTTGATACCTTTGTAGCATCCATAACCTATTTAGGGGTCTTGCTTCTTCCTTATCATGTCTGGTTTGACCCTAAGGTGTCTCTCAGCTCCCGATGCAGACACTGCCATCACCCACTGCTGTTCCTAAGATGTCAGTACCTTTCCATTAATTTCCATGTTCATAAGTAGGAAAGGAGAGCAGAGAAAAAGAGAGAAACTCTCCTCTTTCCCCAGGACAATTCCCTCTCTGGTGTCCTTTGCTACTGGCTTCTACGACCATTGGCTATGTAATCATGGGCAAGTCATTTGATTTCTCTGAGCCTCACTTTCTTCCTCAAAATAGGAATAAGCATATCTATAGTGCCTACCTTACAAGGTTTGTTAGGAGGCTGAAAGGAGCTTTATATGCAATAAAGCACTTTGCAAACTTTAAAGTGCCATGTATGTCTGTCTATTACCACCACTACTTCTTGAAGCCTGTGCCAATGACACACAAAGTGTGGTAGGCCCTACCTAACTAGAAAGGCTTCAAATATGGAGCTGAGGGACAGAGGCCCAGCTCAGTTTGGAAAGGCTCATCACCAGAAAGTTGACTCCCAAGTAATGAATTATTTTAGCTATAGCAATTCATGAAGTTCATCTTAAGACTCCAGAATATTGAGTCTGTGCCAAGCAGTGAAGAAACAACTCAAACCAATGAAATCTTGGATGTTTTGGACCTTTCTTTTTCTTTTTCTTTTTTTTTTTTTTGGTGAGGCAATTGGGGTTAAGTGACTTGCTCGGGGTCACACAGCTAGTAAGCGTCAAGTGTCTGTGGCTGGATTTGAACTCAGGTCCTCCTAACTCCAGGGCCAGTGCTCTATCCACTGCGCCACCTAGCTGCCCTGTTTTGGACTTTCAAAGCAAAAAGTTCCATGTAAATCTGTAAAAGATATGAGTTGCTAGAAGATTTAAAGGAAGTCATAAAAAATAGCTTGATGAATTGCAGCTGAAATGATATACCAGTCATTATGAGTATCTGCAAAATAACAAACTAATGTTATTTTATACTCACTTGATCATGTCTCAGTCCTGGGTTTTGTTTTGTTTTGTTTTTAACATTAGATAATTATTTCCTAATTATTACCTATAAAAGTCTGTATATTAAGTTGAACTCATCAGCTTTTATATAGGTACTCAAGGATAGAGCACTAGGCTTGGAGTCTGGAAGACATCTTCCCAAATTCAAATCTGGCCTCAGACATTTATTAGTTATGTGACCTTGGGCAAGTCCCTTAACCCTGTTTCCTCATCTGTAAAATGAGCTGGAAAAGGCAAACCACTCCAGTATCTTTGCCAAGAAAACCCCAAATAGGATCACAGAGTCAGACATGACTGAAATGACTCAATGACAGCAAAAGTTGTGAGACAGAGTGTAAAAGGAATGTTTTTGAGAAATTTTGAAGGAAAACTCTAAAGGGCATACTGAATATAAGAGATGTTGGAGACTTCTAAGTCAAAGACAGGAAAACCAACTTAGAAGGCAAAGGGAAGAAGGAAGATGAGTTTGGTTTGAGAAATTTGAGTTTGAGGTGATAGTAGGAAGTAGAAAAATGACTTTTTAAAGTGTGGCAAGCACCAATGACAATTATTCATTATCATCATCATCATCATCATCATCATCATCATATTAACTAACATTTATATAGTGCTAACTATATGCCTGGTACTGTGCTTTACAATTATTATCTGACTTAATCCTCATAACAACCCTGGGAGGTAGGTACTGCTATTATCCCCATTTTACAGATAAGGAAACTGAGGTAAATGGAGTTTAAGTGACATATCTGGAGTTACACAGTTATTATGTCTGAGGCTGGATTTGAACTCAGATCTTCCTAACTCCAAATAACTTACATATATTGCAAGTAGTACATTCTTGGAGATCTTCCAAGAGAAGAATAATCAAATTCATAGGCTGCAGATATCATATAATCTAACAAAAGGAAACTTCTTGAAAGTATACATGCATAATATACTGGCAAGACAAAATTAGCTATATTTAATAAGGAAAAAACAGACTTTTTGAAAAATCGTTTCTGTGACTGGAAGGACTGCTTGCCACATAAAAGGTTTTTTGTAGGATTGCTAAGTATAAAAAGCTCACTTGACAGGAGAAACATTTACGCTATCTGCAGCTATTGATATAATTGAAACTATGCATAATTAACATAAAACATGGTATCCAAAAATGAAGCAATGTGGTTTGAATGGTTCTGCTTACAAACAATAAGGATAGAAAGAGAATAGTCCATATAGCTTAAGAATTTGTGGATCAGTTGCTCGAAGATGAATTAATCTGAAAAACAAAAATCTTCCAATTTTGCAATGCTAGTGGATGAAGCAATAAATGTAGTTAAAGAGGCTCATTTGATTACATATATATTAATACGTATGATATTGAAAATCATGTGGGGAGGGAATAGATTTTTTTTTTGTTTTTTGCTAGGTGATGGGGTTAAGTGACTTGCCCAGGGTCACACAGCTAGTTAAGTGTCCAGCGTCTGAAGCCTGATTTGAACTCAGGTCCTCCTGACTCCAGGGCCGGTACTCTATCCACTGTGCCACATAGCTGCCCCAGAAATAGTACTTTTAGAACTCAAATTATAATTTAAAGCAGCAGTTATCAAAACCATCTGGTATTGGTTAAAGAATTGAAAGATAGATCAATGAAACAGACTAGACAAGGAAAAAACAATAGAATTTTTAAAAAACAATAGGGGGCAGAGCTAAGATGGTAGATTAAAAGCAGTGACTTGCTGGAGCTCTCCCCCAAACCCCTCCAGATACCTGTAAAAAATGGCTCTAAACCAATTCTAAAGCAGCAGAACCCACAAAAAGACAGAGTGGAACAAATTTCCAACCCAAGATCAGAAAGGTATGCTGGGCTGGGAGTGGAGCACAGTGCGGCATGGGTACGCAGGCCTGGGCAGGCCTCAGAGGGCTGAATCTTGGGCAGCAGTGGCAGTTTCCAGACTTCTCAACCCATGAACACCAAAGACAACTTAGAAGGTCAGTAGAAAAAGTTTGTCAGACTGCGGTGAGAGAGGAGCTCCATCCCAGCCCCAGTTCCTGAATGTGGCCCTGGGGCTGTGGCTGCTTGTGGAGCTTCTGGCCCACAGACTGAAGGGCATTCGAATGGCTGATCAGAGAGGGATTGCAGGGATCTCTTTGCCAGTGATGAGGCAGGATTCTCTTGCTTTTCCCATGCTTAGATCTGGGTCACAGTTCTGGGTGGTGGTCCTGGCACAAGAAGGAGCACTGGCATGGTGAAGCTTATAGTGGTGGTAGAGATAAAATCCTCCTCACAGTTCCAAGACAGAAAAGAGTGCTTGTGGTCACTCATAGACCACAGCACAGGCCAGGAAAGTAGTAAACACCTTGCCCTTCATCATAGCACCTTGTAAGGACTGAAAATTTACAGGTCCCTAGAAGTATCTCTGAAAACAGCTGCACAAAACCCCTGAAACTTGGGACAGTACATTCTCCACACTGAAAGCAGACCCCTACCTTAACAAAGAGTTTAAAGTCGAGTAATTGGCTGGGATCATGAGCAAACAAAGGCGCAAAAAGAGTCAGACTATAGACTATTTCTTTGGTGACAAAGAAGATCAAAACGTACAACCAGAAGAAGACAACAAAGGCAAAGCTCCTACATCCAAAGCGTCCAAGAAAAATATGAATCAGTCCCAGGCCATGGAAGAACTCAAAAAGGATTTTGAGAACCAAGTAAGAGAAGTAGAGGAAAAATTGGGAACAGAAATGAGAGTGATGCAAGAAAATCATGA